TGTTTAAACATTGTCAAAAAGGGGTTTCGTAAATTTCTTCTCATCTTTAAAGGATAAAGTATTTCGAGTTGGCATTTGGAGGAATAATAGAGGAATATTATTTTTGCAATAATATTGTGAGGAAATTATTTTATTAAAGATTTAAAGTGGAGTAATTTGGGGTAAGTTAGTTCAGCAGCGGCCACTAGCTAGAATTGGCGCCACCTTCTGGGCCACTGACACATAGATTCAATGTCTGTCCCCACTTCTGTCAAAAATCCAACTTTTATAACCACAAAATTACTTTTAAAAATGGAGATGCTTCTTAATCAGCTCGCCCTCATCTAATTAATCCGACAAATCCGAACAAGATATTTCAAGTTATTTACGTATTATTTTGTCAATCAAAATTAATCGATTAACTTTAATAGAAAATGAATCCATTTGCCGGGCCCAGGGCAATGTTTACATCAGAGCTTAGAAAGAGTAGGGAGGTACAAGATATGGTAGAGCCGAAGATGCACGAAGGTAGCATGCTCACAGACATATGAGTGTAGCGTTGTAGTGGTGAGCAGTGGTGCTGATTTGCAGTTGTACGTCCCCACTACTCAAATGTCTATTTTCGTGCTACACTTCGAGCGCCTCTCCTGTGAAATTTGCTTTGGAACCGTAAGGTCCCTTTCACCGCGTCAGGACACATATATTCGCGCTCTTTTATCAATTTTTCGATTATTATCATTATCCAACAATTTATAATATATATACAATATAGGCTCGATTCGATTCAATATTAATCATCCGAATAAAATGTTACAAGAATTCCCATTCAGTTTATCATAATTATTCTTGACAGATTACTGTATATAATTCAGATTACCCACCATAAAATATGTGCAATTCACTATACTTCTATCAATAATTTGAAAACTGAAAAAAATCTGAAATTTCTAAACAAATGAAATTTATGTCGAGAATGAAAAAAATTATTTTTTAATCAAATTTTTTTTTCCCCCTTAAAAGTGCATACAAAAATTATTATCAATGAATAATTGAACTTTCGTATGAAACGTTGAAAAGAAAAAATCATCATTTTTTATTTATTTGTTATAATAAAATTCAGAAGCGTGTTAAAATTGACAGATATAAAATTTCAATCTATATACTTTTGACTCTCTGAGACAGACATCTGCAAATAAATCACGCGATGATGATATTCGCTCCTTTTACTTTGCGCGAGATATAGATATATACATATTTAATCGCAAAAGCCTTAAATACTAACTTTTAGACGATGATGAGAGCTGGACTTTAAACGGCGTGTACACATAATCAGTTTATATATACACAAATGTATACAATGTTTAACCGGGATTATAAAATTTATTCTCTACTAAAATATATACTTAATAAGGAAAAAAAATCATCTAATGTGCAAATGAAAAAAAAAAATCGAAAATTATACTCCCGTTACCCGAAAAATTATATCAAATTTTAAATATATAATATAGGGTCAGTTATTGGGGTTAATGGGGAAAAAATCGCTATTTTTCACAAATTATACATAAGTTTCTTCCTTTAAAAGGTAACATTTGCGGGTTTATTTTTTTAAGTTGTTATTTACGTTCCCAGGATTAATTTTTAGCAGCAGAAAAAAATTTAGATAATAGCTTTAAACGCATAAAACTGACTGTCTCCATTTACCCCAAAATTTAGAAAATTTCATAAAATTTGGGGTAAATGGGGACAGCACAGTTTCTAAGAAAGTTTTAAGAAAAAAGTTTCCTTAAGTATAGTACTGTATTAAGGGATGCAAAAACTTGAAAAAATTTTTTAGTAGATATATATAATAGTTAAACCAATTGAAATTTTTTTATTTTTTTTCATTTCAGTATTTTGTCTCGCATTTGAAAAAAAACAGACTTAAAAATCATACCAAATTTTTTTCTTATTCCTTATGACTCCCATAACAGAAATTCACTCGAATTTTTGATTTTTGTTAATTTGGTTAATAATGACAAGCTGTCCCCATTTACTCCAAAAATTTGAAAACTCAGGGTAAATGGGGACAGCTTGTCATTATTAACCAAATTAACAAAAATTCAAGTGAATTTCTGTTATAGGAGTCATAAGGAATATGAAAAAAATTTGGTATGATTTTTAAGTTTTTTTTTTTTTTTCAAATGCGAGATAAAATACTGAAACAGTTTGACTTTGATTTTCAGGTTTTTATGCATTAAGCGATAACTTTTTTTATCTTGCTGCCAATTGTCAAGATAAAAGCTTACAAAACCTCTTGCAGGTGATCTGAGGTTAAAATATTGATGTTGAACTTAATTTTAAAACTGAAAATTAATCTCCAAAATCTCTTGTCCCCATTTACCCCAACTGACCCTATTATTTTGATATAATTTTTCTTGAAATTTCCCTCATAAATACATTAAAAAATATTTTTATATAACGATTTTTCATGTAAGAATTTTTGAGAGCACTAATTTATTTAAATTATTTATTAAATTTTTTTTTAACAATCGAAAAAATAATACTTTAAATTATTTTCATTTTGAAAATGGAGAAGAAAATAATTTAAATAAATAAAAGAAGAACAAATTAATAAAAGACGCATATAAGGTGATGCAAGGCGTGGACGTGCCTTGTCTGATAATGTAAATACTATAAGATATACATTTGCGCGCACACTACACCATGGGAAGCAGGTGGATCCTGGAGAAACAGAGGCGACTTGTCAAATGAGACTTTTGGTCAAACGAGAAAAATATCTCCGGCATCGACTTTTATTAAAAGACAAGTTTTTTTGACGTTTCACTATATCACGAATAAGAGTCGCGCAGGATGAACAAGCAACTATTTACGAGTATAAACTTTTATATACACAATTGGAAAGTTTTGTTTTTCTTGTGTATTATTCATCAGTGTGCATCAGTTTCGACTAATCAAACGAGTTTCAATACAACATCGCCAGAAACGTCAAAATTTACAATTCTAATTATAGCAAAACATTTCTAGTATATATATATATTGCAAACATCACGAGGAATTAAAGAAAAGGAAAAAGAATTTCCAGAGATACTGGAATTCAATAAAATAATAATAATAAAAATAATTCTCTAGAGCGAATAAATATTCAATTATAACGGCGGAATAATTAATAATATAAAACTCATTGATTTAAAATAAATTTTATCCAATAAAAATATTTATATTGCAAAACTGAAAATGTTATTTATAAGAATTAACTAAAATGCAAGAAAAAAAGTTGTTTATTTATTTATGGAAAACATCCATTAATTGTATATTTACTGTAATTGGCACATAATTAATATATGTGACAATTTGACATTTTGACGTGTGGTACTAAACAGACATTGAACCGTAAGAAAAAAATTATTCATCATCATTTACCGATATGTCTAATCGCATTATTATTCGTCGCAATATATACATATATATATATATTTTTTTTTCACTGACTGATGATGCTTTTTATCAGTCGAATATTAGATATTGGCATAAAGTATAAACGAAGAAATATAAATGAAGTTTGTCTCCAATAATTCGCGCATATATTCCGCTCGCGGTATATGATCTCCAAAGTTCAGTGAGCAACCTTTGCACTTGACTGATTAGTTTATGTAGCATTTATTTCATCATATTTCATCTAACTTTATATATGTCGAGAGGTAACCGCGAACATTATATACGTATATGGATGATTATTTCGAAAAATAAATATATTTGACATTAAATCACCTTTTTAAAATATTTAATAACAGTCTTTTAATAATTTTTCAAATTTTGGTATAATATTTCATTCTTTGAAAATAGAAAGTATATAATCATTATATCGTTTTACTCAAATCTTATAAGAAATTATTAAAAAGGGAACTGTTATTAATTATGAAAAACTCATCTTAATTATTGTATTATTAATAACAGATTAGGGTTCGAGAGTTTTAATTTAAATGTGAATATTAAAGATATTTATTATTATATTATATACATATATATAATGCTAGTGGAAAATGATCTCTTGACAGTAAATACTGAGTCTGGCTCTTATCTAAGGCTTGTGGCGACTATTCTTACACGGCCTTGCATTACCTTGCAATTAGGACAAATAAGTCGATCGAGTTCGCCTGGTTTTATAGATCTTGAAATTAAATGATTTCTTTATAGCTACCGACTTTAAAGGAAGCAAGAAAGATAAAGAAAATAATTACTGAAACCCAGAAACTCGCGAGTGTCGCACACAGGATTTTACAAACTATGATCCTGTTAAAGTCTGATGTTTGTAAAATCCATAGTTAAAATCCGTAGAAAAAAATTACTTTATTTTTTCTATTCTTTAATAGATAATTCGTTATTTATTTTCTACTTTTTTTTGTATACTTTTGACATTATAAAATTCAGGTTCAGAGTTCACAAAAAGTATTATTTTAATATAAAATTTAGGTACTATAAATTGTCATTTGGTTCTACTTTAATACCTAAAATCGGTACTATTTTAAAACTTTCTTTTGACAGTGTTATATTGTATATACCTTACTTTATTATTTTTTTGAAAAAATGTTTAACCATGTAGTAAAAATCAACTTTTTTATTTCAAACAAAATTTTGACCAATTCTGTAATATATTATATATAATAATTGTAAACATAATAGTGCTACTGAATCGACAACGCCAAAATCTTTTAAATAATTGTTGATTCAGAATCAGAAACTAAATTTATAACAGATGATATAATAAAACAGAATGTTCAAGTTTGTATAACAATTAGTCATTATTATCATCCTAATAAATGTATAACTATAATTCTATTAAGTATTCAGATTCTACATTTCATATTATAATAATTTATTACATGAATTAGTATTGAAAGCAGATGGTATAAAGCTTTCAAGTAATTTTGCTTTGGCTTCACTGATTTTTGGGATAATTTAAAACCAAGTTTTCTTCTTTTTTTAGGAAATAACATGAAAAATTGATAAGAGATGACACTCACCCAGTGCATGCCGGTGGTAGGAGGGGCGCGCTCCTCATACACTCCCATCAGGGTGGCTGCTGTCGCGGGGTGGTTCCCGCTAAGGGTGCGAGACGAGGTCGAGGTAGCAAGGGTGGGACCTGGGGACCTGGATGCCGGTAACGCGGAGATGGCGTCCGCCGCGTAACTTACGTTTCACCCTTTGCCCTCTTCCTTCGCTCAAAACCTCTTCCACTTTTTTTCCTTGTTAGCTATATACGCAATCTTTCTGCACCCTTAAATCCAAATCCAATCCACGATACACTACTCTACACTTTCATAACTAGCACTATATTCGCAGTTCCTATCACTGTCTTCTCAATCATTCAAGTTTTGCACTTTATCACTTGACAGCAATAAACATTCTTTATACTGATTCCAAAATAAGAATTCGCTCAATCATCCAAAGTTTTCAGTTCCTGATAACTTCTAATTTCTGATTAACTGAGCTCCTCTTCTTCTTGATCTAATCAGATCATCAACGCTGATTTCCAATCAGTGTTTTGTTCAATCCTTAGTTGCTTTCTAATGATTACAAACAGATGCAGGTGAAGTAAAATTGAAATAGCGAGCACTCAGTCACTGTCATTTGATTTAGATTCGATTCGTGAATCGTGAGAGATGATCAGGTTTGACCAGGATACAGGTGATCAAGAACCAAGCACTCAACACACTTTACTCATACTGGCCACACAAGCATTTCGGCAAAACTGGTATTGGAAAGCCACCTGCTGTGTCTCCTCTCAACAAGGTTCGGGATTCCGAGGATGAACATTAATTCACACGGACTGCCTACACTCAAGAGTCTCACGCACGAGAATCCTTTAGCGTTGCAAAAATCCCAAGATTGTCGCACATTTTATTTAAAATAAAAGAACAACAACAACTTGCTGGACCACTCTCTCTCTCTCTCTCTGGAATATTTTCGTTCCTTGTGCATTCATCGAGATTTATAATCACTTTGCAAGCTTCCAGATCAAATTAAAAAGCACCTATTCTTTTATAATAAATTATTGTCCCCGACGGACATTGGAAGCACAACACTGAAACCAAGCACTGGATAATAATCACGCGCGATTCTTTTTTTTTTTTATAAAGCTGGAATATTATAATCTCTCCTTGAGGGAGAATGTGTGTATGTGTGTTTGCGTCCAGGTGCAAATAGGATAGATCCTTACCGGCACGCACAGGATAAACGGATTAAGTGGAACGACGGAACGGAGTGGAACATGAGCGCATGTGCTCCACCTTTGGTTTTTGTTGCACACGTACAACGCGCTACGTCGTACAGACTCGGCTCGGACCACGAAGCGGAGTGAGGGAACGACAGGATCAGTATAGTTGTTGGCAATAAACAGCGCCACAAGCGGTGAATGATGAACCAGACAGAAATGAGGTGGTAACTTGAATGGAACTGCCCACATAACCCTCACTCGGGTAAACTTGTTCCAACAAGCTCCACCTCTTGAGCTCTCGGATCCTGCCCATCATGGATATATAGGTTTCCTCTGACTGTGTGCTACCGTGTGCGAGCAACCTTCTACCTCTACCATGTAACCTTCGCTGTACTATCATCGCGCGCAACCCAACTCCAATTTCCTCGATCCGACGGGAAACTCATCAGAATGATAAATTGGGATATTGTTGTCCTTGAATTTTTTATTTTTTTTCCCCACTTGCTTAAAATTGTAACAATAAAAAATTTTTAAAACAATTGTGTTCAATTTTTTAAGGATTTGATACAAAATTCGCTTGGCTGAATTTAGTTTCTATTCGAAACGAAAGTCTGATTTTTTGTCGATCCAGAACAAATATGTCGGATCCCGTCCATAAATTTTGAAAGGACTCTTAACAGGGCCCATGTCGGGAAGCTCCAAATTCGTATAAAACATAGGAAACCCGATCGGGCCACAGAAAAATACATATTTCAGCCCAATTAAGGTCCGACCGGGGCCTGGTTCGGCCCCGGTTGGGTTCCCCGTTTCAACTATAGGTCAGGGTCAGGTTGGCGAATTTCTTCACGGGATTTAGTTCCGTGTCATGTTTAGTAAACATATAGTTTTGGTATAGGGGATGACACTACAAACATGATTTTATCGACACGAAACTATAATAGAACGACGGAGTGATTTTTAATTTTCATTAAAGTGTGTTGGTCTCTATGATTATCACATACAAGTTGAATATTAAATTAAGACAAATCTTACTTTTAATTTAATTTGAGACTTTTTTTAAATTTCTATTGTTCGATCAAAAACAAAACAAACAACACAGTAAGAAAAATGTATTATAATATAAACCGTTTTTCATTTTAAATATTATTATGTATTTTTCACAAGTCCTCAACCAAAAATTGCAGTATTATATATATACCAGAGTTCACTACTGGCGCCAACATTGAGTTAGTACTGACTAAAATTCATTTTTCATTTAAATTTTCTTCTTTTAATTTTATATTTTTTCTTTAAATCTTAATAATAACAGTCTAAATAAAATATATATAGTGCCTTCATAAAATTTGTGTTGCATTACTAAAAAATTCAGATATACTTTTTCCTAAGCACACACCAAAAAAGTATTACCTAACCTGGAGCAGAGATAAGTTATTCACTAGAATAGCGAAAACTTTAACTATTGCAGTGAAACTTATATCTCAGTCAAAGCTTTCTTTTCGTATACAATAAATCACAAAACTGCCAGTACTCGTCCAGTACTGACCCAGTATAACTTGGCAGTAATATATAGTAGTACTGATTTTTAATATACAATAATACAAAAATTTAATACTGAACCAGTACTGGTGCCAACTCTGGTATCCAATACTGCTAAAATGTTATCATTTGCGCCAACTCTATGGCGCCAATACTGGGGTGTCATTACTGCGCATCAGTATATAGTAAAGTTTTGGTTGGGTCTCTCCTTGTCTATAACTTGGGCTGACTCTGATGTTTATGCACACTTAAAAGTAAACTCATTTTTTGCTTTTGAATTAGCAAAATTTAACTAATTGCATAAGCAAAAAAATGAGTCACTAATTCAAATTACAGTAAAACCCCGTTTATCCGAGCTCGCTTTTTCCGAGGTCTCGATTATCCGAGGTGGTGTCCCAGTAGAAAATTCTGTATTATCTCTGAGTGTAGTCTACGTCATCTGAGTTATTTTTAATTTTAGTTTTTTATAAATATGAGTTTATTTTTAATAAATTCAAATTGTTTAAATTATTATGAAATATATACAATATTATTTTCCCGTTTGTAATAAATAATAATTGTTTAAACAATAATAATGTTAAATTGTAATAACAATTCGGATTATCCGAGTTTTCGCCTTATCCGAGGTAGGTCCGGTCCACATTAGCTCGGATAACCGGATATAAATATTTTATGTAATTATTGTGATTACACATGTAAAAGTTATCTGTACGTTTTAGCGCGAAATACTTATATTAATACTCTAATATTAATATTATTATTAATTATTATTATCAATGAGTAAAAAAGAATTTTTTTTTGGTGAATGCAACTTTAACAGAATATATATATAGTCTATATATATATATATATAGATGCGGTAGCAGCAGCGATATGGAAACAATAAAATTACGAAATAATAATAAACTGTAGAATGCTGTGTATATTATATATATGTATATATATTGGGAAAGTCGGACAAATAAAAATTGCAAAATCAAAAAAAAATTGCATTACGCGCACACATCCTATAAAGTATCACATTTCCCCCAATGTATATATAAACGCACACATATAAAGTATATATAAATTCAGAGCATATATATATATATATTTATATATGGTTAGCCTTTTATAAAACTGGTCAATTGATTTTTGATCCCATTGAAAAGCAAGTTTATAAGAACACAGCTTGAAAATTTCTGTCTATATATATATTGTATATACATTATAAATATAAAGAAGTATATATAGTAGAAGTATATATATATACAATTATACAGATCCCCAAACGCACACAGATTAAAGATTACAGTTTCCAAGAGTGCTTCGAATGAATGACTCTTCTCTACGCAAAGCTTGTTACAAGACAGCACGTGCCATTTTGCAAAATGATGGTCCTTAGCGAACAATTTCAACACCCCATGCTTTCCAATTATTACCAAGTGGTCGAGTAAAGAGGACGAATATATTTTTCCTTAACTGAATTTTATAAAAATATATATATATATATATCACCGTCCGACAAAATTCAACTTTTTTTTCACACACGAAAAAATCAATGATTTTAAGAAACTAGGACCAAAAAAAAGATACCCGTGTCTGGCCGTTTTGCTAGATCAGGTCATTTTTTGCTTTTAGGGGTAAAAACAACCCTTAATTGAAAGGTGATAGAAAATCTTGTAAAAATAAATAATTTTTTATTAAACCTGGTATCTCGGGGTTTTCCGGGTCGCTGATTACGAATATGATGTCAGATTTCCAAAATTCAAAATGGCGGATCCAATATGGCGGTCGAAATTTATAAAAATTCACTAATTCATTTGAAAGTTGTTACTTATAGGGGTTTTTGGGGTCGCTGATTACGAATATGATGTCAGATTTTTAAAATTCAAAATGGCAGATTCAATATGGCGTTTGAAATTTATAAAAGTTCATCGAATTCACTTGAAACTTGTTATTTGAAGGTTTTTGGGGTCGCTGATAACGAATATGATGTCAGATTTTCAAAATTCAAAATGGCGGATCTAATATACTGGTCGAAATTTATAAATGTTATTATTATCATTATTATTATTATTATTATGTTATTATCAGCGACCCCAAAAACCCCTAAACACCAAGTTTTATAAAAAATAATAAATATTTATAAATTTCGACCGCCATATTGGATCCGCCATTTTGAATTATCAAAATCTGACATCATATTTGTTATCAGCGACCCCAAAAACCTTCAAGTAACAAGTTTCAAGTGAATTCGATAAACTTTTATAAATTTCGACCGCCATATTGAATCCGCCATTTTGAATTTTGAATTTCTGACATTATTGTAATGCGCAAATATCGTTTGTAAATTGATAAAATATATAATATAATAAAATATAAATTTTGTATATCCATAAAGGTTTTGCGGACATAAAGAAAATTTTACTTATATATATATATATATATATATATATATATATATATATATATATATATTATTTCTACAAAATGAGTGCAATCATAAACCGGAATTAGTTGATGCATATAGTTACTTTACTTTTTTTGATAAACGTTAAAATTAACGACTCATTAGTTTATCAATTTTCAAGGTTTTTTTTTCAACGATATTTATATCGATATAACAAATAAATATATATGCGGTCAGAAAAAAATTATCCTCGTTACTCAAGGCGCATTTATAACACCACCAAATGTATAAAAAGTATATAATATAAAATAAAAAAAAATCTTTTATCACTCTATTCACTATAAATTATCACTATAATAAATTGTCAATTTTATCAAAATCCATTATATTATTTTCTTCTCTAAATTATAAATTGCCTATTATATAAGAATTTTTCTCTAACTTGCGCATTTGCGCGCGTCTAAATTGCTTTAAACTTTTTACCGTTTCAGAATAAATTGTCGAATAATTTCAAAAGCGTAATGAGAGTGTACAAAAAAAAACAAACGAAGAACTAAAGACAGTAGTATAACAAGATTCAATAACTGTATTTTCTGGGTCAACTTACGCGCGTGTATAAGAAATAAAACGAAACTGCAATTGATTTGCAGTCTATATATATATACACTAAAAGGACGGATGTATATCATTGAATTTCGATGCAACATCTTTTTCCGAAAACGAGGCAAAAAATGCAAGAAGAAAAAAGAAAAAAGAGCATAAAACGTAAACCGCGATGAAGGAGACTTGGAAAGAGGTTCTTCAACGGAAAAATATTCATTCGAATCGGCAGTCACCCGAGCGAGCATCCGGCCACGCTTTCTGCGGTTTAAGTCTTTTTTCGTCGACTGGAAAGTTGAATCGGTGATCTGGTCCATTCTTTTTGTTCCATTGGTTACTTTACGGAGTATTGCCCAACAGAATTGACGAGCATCTCCCCCCCCCCTCTCTCTCTCTCTCTCTCTCTCTCTCTCTCGGTATAATACTGAAGGAGACACAAAAGGAGTTTGTCGCGAAAGAAGCATATTGGAAAATATAAAACAAACTTTTTCCTGTTGACCAAATGCGTCACGCTTTTGATTTTATACTCTTCGTTACTAATGTATTGTAGAAATAAAAAACGACACCCAAACATTTGACTATATAATTTTTGTTTACTTAACAGCTTGTTTCAATTTTATACACAGAAAAAGCCTAAACTCAAAATGAGTTCAATTATATTCAATTTGAAGTGC